ATATTATGTAGCTATAGAATTAAAATAAAAAAATTTATCAAGTTTAATTTAATAGTTGTTGAGATATTTTGATTTGAAATTTTTAAAAAAACTCATTAAAAACAATTTGCTTGGTTTCTACTGGCAGCCCCCATATATATAACTCAAAAAAATTTAAATATACGTAGTAGAAAAGAAAATATAGTAAAAAAGAATTGGCATCATAAAAAAATAACATATAAAGAAAATTTTGCAAGATCGAAATGTTGAAAAAAGTGCTCGTTGAAAAAATAATACTACTAGAGACAAAAAGTTTATATTAAATAAATTTTTTTTTAAAAAAAAAATCTTTATTATTTTTCTTAATTTGTCAACCTTTTTTTATAGAATAACAGATAGTTTCTTTTAAATGTCTTGAAAATAGCACTAGTCGAAATAAGCGTGTCGGGCAAATATCATTATGTTTTTTAGTTCCGATTAATGACTCGAATTGTGTCATTTCCAGGTTCAGATCGGAACTGATAGAACTATTGGTAATATATCAGATACAGATAGCTCTTATAATTTTACTGATAGCTCTATCAGTTCCGATATGAACCTGGAAATGACACGGTCTGAGCCATTAATCAGTGCCATATCTGGACTAAAAAAGCTATGAAATTTGCTCGATATGCTTTATTTCGATCAGTGCAATGATCTTGTTATTGTTTGTCATGCTAGCTAATGTTCTAGCTTTTTGAATATAATTTGCAGCTTTTGTTTTCTGGTTGTTGATTTTATATTAACATGAAAACAAATGTAACAAATTGTTTAAGATTTTGTATTAGCGTATACTCAAATGCTTAAGCTTGTACTTTTTTGATTTTTCAAATTGGCTATTGACTTCATTGTGAATCACAAATCTTTTCCAGATGATTTTTTATAATTTGAGATGTTACTTGCATTTCTTCCAAAAATTCAGCAAAATCATTGTTGATATATTCCAAAAAAATCCAAACATCACTTCGTGGGGTTTTATCATGAGCACTATGTTGAGTTGTATTATAAGAAAAAACAAACTTTGGTAAGTGATCTTTCAAATTAACACTTTGTAATAGGAGTTCTTCATTTTATAGCATTTTTGTAACTACTGTCTGGTTTAAGCATTCAACTTGCCCTTGTGACATAGGATGCCGTGAACAACCATTTCCGATCGTAATTTCAAGAGCTTTGCAAAGACGATTAATAAAATTAGCAGTGAATTCCTTCCTGACCATTATCCGATTGTAAAATTGATGGCAAGCCCCACTGCACGAAAAGAGATATTAAGGCTTCACCAATTCCATCGGCTTCTTTGGTTTATACCACAGAAACTTTGAAACAATACAAACGATGGTAAGAAGCCAAGAAAACCCATCGTTCATATCTTTGCATGACGTAAAATCTATGTGAGTGTCCAATGTGAGGATGGCCCGCAAAATCCCAAAAGTCAAAATCCTGAAATTTAATTGTCGCGTTGCGTGATGTCGGGTCAAACCCCTCTTATGATTAGTGATAATGATTACTAATCATCACGCAACGTGACAATTAAATTTGACTTTCGGGATTTTGACATAGACCCTGGTGTGTCAATCACATGACGATATGTTCATCGTAAAAGGTGTCATTTTGGCTGTTTAAAGAGTGAATTCTTTACTTTACACTGTAAACAAAAAAAATAAGAGAATTGGCTGCTGCTCCAACTGTCTCTCAAGTTATTATATAAAAGATAAATAGTTATGACGTAAGTCGTGTACCATTCACTGACGCGGAATGTGCCCAATCATGATGCATGTCCTGTATGTCCTGTGATTGGACAACAAGCGTAATATTCAACCAATCAGCGTACGAAAGTGAAACATACATCGTGTTCTCGCTTCGCTTCGATAATTCACTTATTCCAAGGGGGAAGTTTCTTAATAACTTATGAAACATCGCTCCTGACATAATGACTTCACAGACCTTGTTAGGTAGTTACTCTTTCGATTGGAGGGGTATTACTCGTCGCTTTCAGCATTAAAAGTTTTTTTTTATCTTCTCATCAAAGATAATGCAGCGCAT